TTTACTGTAAATAGTACCCATATAAATAAACCAATGTTTTATCGTTATTCATTAGCCGAGTCGTTGCAGTATCACAAGCCGGAATTCTCTGATTCAGTTGGAATTGAACATCTGGGTCTCCAAGGCTAACTGGTTTTGGGAGCAGTTTTTCTGTGTGATGCTTCTTCGTTTGTAGCACAATATCTTTTAAAGAAGAAATACAGTTGTTGTTAAACTAAATATCTATATTTGATACTGAAGGATGTATCATTAACTTACTAATCTTTTGATTACTTACAGTAGTTAGAATTTCTATAATCATACACTAATTAACTTACAAAACAATTGTAGTAATTTTCATTTAAAATTATTTCAAAAGCGCTTAAAATTAGATTAATGTTTCCACCTTTAGAGTAACTATGACGTATGGTCTTGACAAAAAAATTAGGAACTGGAGGATTTCGGTTTCTTTTTGATTTCAAGCGGGTCATATTAGCTATGAGCTCTATGACTGATTTTGGAAAGTTAATATAACACCTACATAACCCTTAAAACCTTACTATCTGGTTTCGTTCTAAAAACTGTAACTGTTTCATTTGTGAGGCATGTGACCTTGACCCCAGAGCATAGGCCTAACCTGCCCCAAAAGCGTTCAGTTGAAAGTTGGCGGTCGATATAATGATCGGGTTCGCGCAAGCGCTAACATCACCTCTCAACCAATCGATCTGCCCGCCCACGTGACGCAACGCATTTGCGGGGATTCTTTGCGCACACCTCGAAGTCTATACTACAATTTTGGTCTTGATCCAGTAAAATTGCAAAAATACTTTAAAAATATTATAATTATAATATTTATAGGACTAAGCTTACAAAATATTAATACGCACTTTACAAAGCTACACACTTAATGATTTTTTAGATAACTTTTTGTTAATTTGAGGCGACTAGCTCTCAAGTAGAGTTGACCTGGAAGTTTAATGTAATAATTTACCTTATCTCCAAAAAAACTCTTAAAGGTGAGAATTCTATTACTATTTTAAAATCAGATTGATAAACTTACATTTTTTATATACAACAAACCAGTTCCTTTTATTAAAGAACACCCCTGCAATCAATAAGGAAAAGCTCTTGGCGAAGCAAACAGTTAAGACTTACATACTGACGATGACTTTCTAGCTTTCTAAAATATGACAACATGGTGTTATTAATGTTTTGTAATAAAGACCACCAGACTATCCATCTCCATAACCATAAAGGTAACCATCTCGATAAAGGACAAATTCCAAGATAACAGAACCTTGGAGATCTGAAGGTAGACACTACATGTAGATCTTTATTATTTCTTATGTGTCACTTGTTTTGTCGGAAAGCCTACAAGGTTCTTAATGGTTTTTTAAAACGATTCTAAAATGACTGCACGTATGTCGTCGTGGTCGCCACGCCGCTTCCCACTAGGTTGAGTGTTGTGGGTTCGAGCCCCAAATGGGACAACACTTTGTGTGATCCATAAATTGTCGTTCTGAGTCTGGGTGTTCTTTATGTCCCTTCCATGTATGTTTGTAAAGTCCCCAGCGTCACAGGATATATTCCTAGTCTAGGAGTTACCTTCTTAAAAAAAACTGTTGTTTTAGAGTTTTTTTTTCAAGTCGCATCAAACTGAATAAGCAATAAAAAGGCTCTCATCATAAAGAAATTAGAGCAGTTATCAAACTGTACCACCTAACTTCAAATCACCACTATTTTAGGTGTTGGTGAATGTCTTTATTTTGAAACTATGATAGTGACATTTTATTTGCTGTCATCTTATTGTTTAACGTTTAACTACTGAATTATTCGACGGTTTAAAAAAGTAAAAAAGAATAACAAGAATATTCATTTTAAAAATTATGGTAGTAAAGTCAGCCTAAAGGCTATGGTCAGGCTAAGCCAATACGTCCGATTTATATGGGACTGGGACAGTCCACTCAGTCCCCAACCAATATATCACGCCATTTATATTCTCATTAGTTGTTTCATTTGATCAGATTAGCTGGAATCCCTCGAGGTAACAGCTCATAATTTCTTGTAAACACAATCTTAGTTAAGTGTCCTTTAAAGTTTACACAGTACAAATTGGCCTAACCATATCGTAGCAAGTAGCATGCCCTCTTAAACATAATACAATACACTTAAATCGCCTTAAGCATTATACGTGAACTGGTCAACGCACAAGAATTACGAATAATAATTAACCAGAAGTCTCATGGTGGTCGAATTTCTAACAAAAATAAAAGATGTTCTCTTCTAGTATAAGTTGGACTGTTATTGTATTAGCTTTCTATAGTGTGACAAATAAACTGAGTCCCTGCAGGTTTTTGTAACATAATATGTATAATATTATAAAGTTTAAACACCTTAGCATTTGCCACATGCTCTCCATATAAACTTTCAGCATTCATAGTTTCTCATTTTCATCCTATACGATTTTGCTTAAACAGGTACAAAGAATTTTCTTCGCTTATTAATATACCGCTTTTTTATTCAAATTCGCTGGTTTAAGTTACATTACATTTTTAACTTACATTAAACCCCGTTTGTTAATCAACGGAACCTCCTGCGTAGCATTGGCTTTATTGTTGTACTGGTCTGGTTTGACCTTACATCTTTGCTTTTACACTTATACTAATACTTACACTAATATTTATCTAAGATTCTTTTCATGTCGAAAATATATTCAAACAGGTCCACATTTCTTTTATCGACTTCAAAAAGGGGGAGATTATCAATTCAGATGTTTTTTTTATGCATAACTAAGTCATATATACTCGTTGAGGGATTTTCAAAATTCTTATTTTGTTCGAAAGGGGTTTATTTCGAAATTTACCCAGTTAAATTTCATATAGATCAGATGACGAGTTTCGGAGAAAGACAACGGAACTCCTTAAAAAATTTACAGCAAATCAAATGTGTTTCCTGCTAGGTTTTTAGTGCTCTGTGTTAATAGTGTTTGAAGTCGGTTCAACTTGTTTTTAAGAGGGATTTATCTTATTCCATTTCAAAACGCCCGCCACTAATTTTAAGTAAGAATAGAATAGATAAGACTATAGAACATATTAAGGAAAAAACAAAACGCTACCTACACCTATTAAAAATTAATCAAGTCGGTTTTCTCATTTTGAGGTGAATCATTTCAGTCGGTCAATGCCAACAATAAGTAAACCTCTTAGTTATCGTATTTAAGTACGTTTTTGTTTAAAGTAAGTGTTAATTTATACATTATTATATTTTAACAGTGAAGATAATGTACTAGAAGAAGTTGATGAAGTAACGCATTAACACACATGTAAATAAATAGTCCTTTAGTCAATATGAAGATACCGGTGAAGCGGAATTAGAATGAAGTGCGCGCTGCGACTCGCGGCGGCCGTGTACCACGTCATTGCCGTGACCCACTGACATAGATCCGCGGGGCCGCCTGCACCGATATCTGCACGCGCCGCGCTCTTCCTCTGCTGCCCCTTTACTCTTTTACCTATAAATTTGTCTTTTAATGAATTTGCGTCATAATTTATTCAGCGTTACTGCGAAAATGATGATTTTGAGTATGTTTAATTAGAATTGTGATTGTTATTTACCATTATTCTTTAATGTGAATCTCCTTCAAAGGTTAGTTTAGACGTTTTATTGTTCATATATAATTCAATATGGAAAAGTAGCAACTCCCACAACAATCCCTCGGACACATGGAAAAACAAACAAAATTTTGCGTGTGTCGTAGATATTATAAAAATTGCTATTGAGTTATGCAATAAATGACCTTGTTATCTAAATTGTGCACTTGACACAAATACTGTTCCATTTCACTTTCATGTAGGTACAAGTGCCTACGTCACGGTTTACATCGTATCATTGTATGTCGCGTGATTTAACTATGTTGACGATATTTCGGTGTAAAACTTTTATAATAAATAATTGTATGATGATTAGGTGTTATTACTTGAAAAAGTAATGCTTCCGATGAGGGCAAAATAAGACTTAGTGCAATAAAATGAAATATTAATTCAATCAGTCTTATCGTATCAGTAATTATTTTGCTTCAGAGTAAAAACAATCCATCTCCGAGCAAGCATAATATATTATGTGACTATAGTAGGTATGTGATATACTTATAGTATATATATATATATACATATTTCGACTAACATATATATAGTCAACATATATATGTTAGTCGAAATAAAAAAAATTATACTGTATTGTGTAGTTAGTCGTAAATTCTATAGTCAATAATTTTATTATTTAAAAATTGTTGTTTTTTGTATTTGGCAGTATGGAATGTTTAGTTAGTTAGTTAGTAGTTAGTTAGTTGTTGATGATTGTATTCTGGTCAGGTTTCGCAACACATAAATGGCTAATGAAATAGCAAACAATTTTTTATATGTATTTATACGTCGCATTAATTCGTAGCTGTTCGGGTTTATTCGTCAAGTTCAACGTAGTCGTACTAGTGAGCGAGATCGTTTAGTCAGGAGAGTCGTTGGTGTGACTGTAGTAGCGATACTGTTCAGTCCGCCAGTCCACCTTCTCACGCTCTTAGCCGTCTTTGTCGTCGTCACCGTCGACGTTCTGCGTCGTGTCGCGCCGCGCCGGTCGTCGTGTTGATAATTTGTAAAGCGGCGAGTGAAAAGGATGTGTGTATATCTATGTCTCGCCTTTCAGTTGACTTTCATCGTCGTTTTGTAGCGAACGTTTCGTACGGATATCGATAGGAAATTGCACTATCACTACGTAATAAAGTTGTCGGCCAATATTAATTATTAACAAGACGTAATTTTATATTCGTTATTTTTATTTAACGTATAGTTGCTCAATTTAAAGTGTGTGTTTAAAAACCTTCATACTATTAAAAAATAGCTTTGCGGCGGTCGTGGCGCAATGCAGTGTATGTTTGGATGCGGATACGAATTGTGCTGTTTAAAGTTTATCCAGGGATATATACGTTTTTTGAGAAGTGGAAGTGAACGCTTTAGTGTGTCTTAGCCATGCTGCCTATGGTACAGACAGAACCCGTGCTTTTCAATTGCGGAGTCCACTCGGCAAATGTTGCCGTTTCTCCTGCGGCCACATTGCCTCCCTCGCTCACACCGGATTCGGATGTCGACGAACTAGTTGATATATTCTTCGATGTTGATGTTGCTGTCAACGCTTTACCGAGGTAATTAAATAATAAATACATCCTTTTACAAACCTTTTAAATGGTAACACGAAGAATGAAAACTGGATTGTAATGTGTATACGGCAAATGGATTTATTCTTCTATTGGACGTGACTGCTTCAAATTACTTATAAATTCTTAAATAAAAAAAATGGCAACTCTGCAATTTCACATCTACGTACATTGTTATTTACCTACCAGTATGTTCAATAAAAAAAAAACCTAAACTGCAATTTTCTAGGTTTATTATGAGTTCATTTGTGACAATTGGTTTCACAATATCTACCGTAATCAGCCAAGTCAACGCTGAACCAATAACATAAAACCCCAGAATGATTGCAGGTCACTTAATGGACATAATATTAGTATTTATAAACGATAAAAGAATATATTAAATCCACAAATGCTAATCCATTGCAACGTGATCTTAAATGTCCATCATTAATTAAATAAATTATAGAAGTAGCTTCATTACGCGACAGATAAAAAACTTTAAATCGTTAATGCTCCCAACTGCGTAATGTAGAATACAACTAACATTAACTAAAAAGTATTTATTGTATAAAAAGTATTTATATACTTTTAAATCTTACAAATCAACTCTTTAGATTGCCTGCCGGTGTAGAAAACTTCCTAAATCATCGTGCGAAAATCACTAAATATTGCATTTTTTTTTTCTGATTCACCAAAAACGCGTGCAAAAACTCATAAATAATAGGTGATAATTTATTAAAAGTTTTTTTTTTACTAAATTTATAAATCAGCTATCACAAAATTACACTAAGCCCTCAGTATTTATGTACTAAGGCTGTCAAGTTTTCATCTTGCTGAAAAGTCAAAAACACTGTAAAACCGAAGTACGTTAAAGTTTCATTGAAAGTTTATCATCGGTAGCCGTGTAATTTTAGATATAAGTTGTATAAGGCTGTAATTTTATGTATGTTAAACAGTAAAGTGTGATTTGCAAATTTATAATACACTGGTACTGGCAGAAAGACCAATTAAAGCGAGCGATATACCAAAAGCTAATCTGCAGGTGGCCGTTAAAAACAAACTGAAGGCTTTGTAGTGATTAAAAGCGAGCCTTAAAATGATTAAGTATTGAATTATTTATGAAGAAGGATTAGAATTCATAGTTACTCATATATTGACTTTCTTTTACAATCGAGATCATTTCACTTGCTACTGCCACGCACTGTCCTTTACCTTTCCTCCTTAAGGCACTTCTGAACTAGGGTAGTTAAGGTCCTTACGTAATTACCTTAACTAACTTTAGTTTAATATTTTCAGTATCTCTAATCGCTTGCCATTCCATATCTTCAATTGCTTTATATACCCTACTTATCTTTTCATGTTTCATTATTAAACTTCTAGAAATATAGTAAGGGCCAATGGAGTCTTTAAGATTATCATAATCTACGATATACATTATTCTTTTACTTCTTTTTGTAGTCCATGGAAGGAGGTTGGCAATCAGTTTCGCATACTTCTCGCTAATTTTTCTATTTGCCCCGTTTTCGAAACTCGCTCAAGTAGATTTAAAATAAAAATTTAAAAATAAATATTACCTCTCGTTATGAGAAACTAACACCCGCATTGCTTTTTTATTACTATTGATACTTAGTCTGCTAGTGTACTTGACACAATAATTCGAAATATTAACAAATTTTGTATTAAAATACCTACATTTACGTGGGGAGGTCCAAAAGTTCGTGAGATGGCGTGGGGATACGGGCGCTCGCTTAGTGTCACACTAATTGGGGACTCATCATTAGTATATAAATTAAGTTTCAGCCCTATTGCTTCATTCGTTTACGAATATTCACCTGCTAAACAAGTCTATCCAGAAGAAAACTGAAACTATGGAGAAAATTGAACACCGTGCTGTGATAAAATTCCTTATTAACCAAGGAAAGAACGCTCAGACCATTTTGAATAAAAAGCAAACCGTTTATGGGGGACAGTGCCCTAGTAAATCAATAATTTACAAGTGGCATGGTCTTTTTAAACATGGTCGGGCGTCGATTGAAGACGACCCCCGCTCAGGGGAAGGCTAGTTGAGGCCACCACATCAGACATCGTCGAAAAAGTAGAAAAAATTGTACTGGACGATTTGGATCGGATTGTTACCGGAGATGAAACATGGGTTCATCACTTTAAGCCTGAGTCCAAACAAGAGTCCATGCAATGGCATAAAAGGGTACACCACCGCCAAAGAAATTCAAAGTGTCGGAGTAGGCTGGAAACTGTTTTTTTGGGATTGTGAGGGGATAATACTCATTGATTACAAAGAAAAGGGAAGGACCATAACCGGAGAATACTACGCAACGATACTAGAGAAATTAAAGGAGGCCATCAAAGAAAAACGTCGAGGAAAATTGACCAAGGGTGTATTTCTCTTGCAAGACAACGCGCCGGTTCACAAGAGCAGAGTTGCAATGGCTGCTCTGCATACAAGCATGGCTTCGAAACACTGATCCACCCACCCTACAGTCCAGATCTGGCGATTTTTATTTGTTCCCCAATTTAAAAAAAGACTTAAGGGGAAAGAAATTTTCCTACGACAATGAAGTAAAGGAGGCAATTTTAACTCATTTTGAGGCAAAAGATAAAAAATATTTTTACGATGTTTAGAAAAATTAATTCATAGATCTAATAAATGTATTCAGCTTAAGGGTGAATATATTGCAAAGGAAAAATAGATTTATTGTTTCATTTTATTTAAAACCCTTTCATTCCACGAACTTTTGGACCTCCCTCGTATATTATTATGTATCCTTAAACGAGAACTTGAAAAACTGTTTTGACAGTTTGGCAGACTATAAGTATGAATAATACATGTATTGTAGATGTTTATTAGATTTAATAAAGAAAGAAAAAGTATCTAAACTGGTTTTTAGGCATAGGTATCGTGCAACTAACCGTGGAAACATAAAAAAACCTATCATTTTGACTTTACAAACAGACACTCCAATTTTGTTTATTTGTATAGATATAGCATCGCATTAATCTGACATGCGAAAATATTCGGTTTTCTTTTCGTCAGTAGTTTTCTTACTTGACTTATTGATTTCGGTCAGTATGGGGTAAACGTCTTTATAGGACATGCAGACGTTTACCCCATAGAACACTATTAAAAATAATTTGATATTATTAAATTGAAAATTATGATCTTAAATACCCCCTTTAACGATTACAAAAGAGATTTACGGGTAATATCAATGACATTGATTTGTACACTAACAATGTATACTGTAATACATTGTAATAACAATGTACACTAACTTTTGTATGAATGAATATAACAATAATAATTTAGTTATAACAATTAATACATCACTTTTGGTGATCATACTTTTTTCCAATCATCACCACAGAAGAACGGCAGATCTTGTACACCTAGTAACATAATATGATGGATGGTTATGAGTTTTTTACTTTATAAAGTGAACGATTCACTATATAAAGTACCTCACCCCACCTTCACCTAATTATTTTCATGTAATTATCATAATTTTCGAACTTTGTTAAAAGTAGTGTTACAATTGCAAAAACTAAAGGTAGCAATTCAGTCAGTAAATTTGTCTTGTCAACAAAACGAGTTGCCATGCATGAAATATTAATGACATAAAATAAATGTTTATATCAATATTTACGAATTAGCTTACTAGTGTATTAAATTTAATGTTGACTTGAGATGAGACGAAGGAATGATTTTTTTTCAGGATATGGACTAATAATTTTTATTCAAATCGATTAGTTTTCTTATATCTTACTATAATGGCAACCGATCGATTGATGTTAAACAAAACCACGTGTGGTGTTGTCCGGAGTAATGTCCAAGTGCAAACCTTTTACGTATTTTTGTAATAATACTACAAGAACAATATCCTTCGTATTTAGAAACGTTAAACAGTATATTATTATTATGATTTTAATAATAAGTCACCTACGTTCATTTATTGACAGCAATGACATAACAACTTATTTGTGACAGCCAGCTGTCATCGGTAGCGACTTCATTACAGCCTATATTATTATGTAAACAACAAACTAAAATAACTTTTGAACGCAGTTATTTCAGTTAATCGGATATAATAAAAAATCTGATAATTAAATTTTCGATAATATTAATAAACAAAATAAATAAAACATAATAATCACTACCGTGAAATTTTTAAGGCGGTACAAAAGTCCCATACTTGCCTGCAATTGTTCTTTTGGAAACACTGGATCTTTTATCCAGACGCGAAAGAAGCCGCAGATAAAAGCTCGTAGTAAACTTGCCAAAGTCAAGAATGGCTATTTATGATAAGGCTTATACTGCGAGCTGTTACTAGGTACTCTAGATTTCACTTGTATTTCATCTCTTATTCATAAGTAGGTCATGGAAATCACTGTTTACCAATAGTAAAGAGATTGGGACCACTTTAGTAGTACATAAAAATAAATATTTTTTTCTATTAAATCCTTAAATATTAATAATATTTGAAAATTACAGTGTTAAGAATAGACTTCCTTTCTAGGGTATACCTGGTTTCCCGGCTATTAGTACCCTAGACGGCGTGCGGTTTTAGTCGGTTCGAGTCCGACATGCCACCGATAGGTGGTTTTCGAGGGGATTTCCGCACGGAAAAAAAGGGAGGCAGCTACAATCACCAAATCCGAAAAAACCTTAGTATTCCCGACTAGCTAGTGAGATCATAAAAGCTAAATTGAAGAAGGATTAAGTCGGTTACGCACATCTGATATTATAAGTCTTTAAGGCAGTCGTAGAAGGGCCATTAGCTTGTTTACCAGAAACAATTAACTTATTCCCGTGCATCCTATACTGTTTTTTACCACTTATATTAATTTTTATTTATTTGCATTAAACTTTATTATGTAATTGCCAAATTAAATTATCACTAATAACTTTAACTGCCTCCAAAACAAAAAGAATTAATCTGTTAAGTGCTGATATATGTATTGATATATACAAATATTGTATACATATTCAT